AGGCTGGGAAGTCTCACCTGGACTGACCGGGGTGAGGCTGGGAAGTCTCACCTGTCCTGACCGGGGTGAGGCTGGGAAGTCTCACCTGTCCTGACTGGGGTGAGGCTGGGAAGTCTCACCTGGACTGACCAGGGTGAGGCTGGGAAGTCTTACCTGTACTGACCAGGGGTGAGGCTGGGAAGTCTTACCTGTACTGACCAGGGCACTGTTGCTGTACAGGGTCCCCAGGTGAGGCCCGGACAGTGACAGGAAGGTGTGGAGTTTGTTGAGGTAATACCGGAACCGGGGCCGCGTGAGAACCGATCTGATGATGATGTTGCCGAGAGAATGGCCAATGAAGCTGCGTGGGATAGAGGGTGCAGGTGAGTGCAGCAGTGAGGCCACCACTGGGGATGCTGGCTTGATGTACCCCAAGGCCAGCACCACAACCCCCAGTGGGTCCAGGGTTGCTGGCAATGAGAATATGGGCTGTTAATTCATCTCCATCAGGTTCCTGAACTCTGGCCATCTCAACCCTGAGAAGAGGTCTTCGTGGGTCGAGCTCTGCACCCAGAGTGCTCAGGGAAGAAGTGTGGGCATTTTGAGCCCGGCTTTGCATCATCAGAGGTCCTGCCCATCCCAGGTGGTCCCCAGGCCTTCCTGCAGTCCTCCGGGGAGAAGGGAGGGTCCTTTGGGAAATGTACCTTGGAGCACTGAACTATCCTGGTCACTCACAGGGTAAAGTCCCAGCTCCCTGGCCTGCTACGGAGACCATTACTACTGAACTTGAGATGACCTCTGAGTTTTTACCCATTTCCTGCCTCACCTGCTGTTGATTCTGGAGCTGCCCCTTCTCAGCCCACCTTGTACTTGATCCCCTCCTACAGGGTCTGCTCCAGCCATGCTGCCACTCACAGACCCCCAGATTCGACACATCATTACTTTCAAATTAAATATTTAGTGAAGCCCTATTTATGAGCGGGATACTGCTCTATCTTTCCTGTGATCAGCACAAAACAAGCAAAAGGAGGGAATGAATGTCAGCCTCTGACACTGCAATGACTTGCTTGAATTCTCTTATCTGTAGCTAAGGCCTCAGAATCCTCTTTCATGGAATTAAAACGGTGACACTTTACTGGGGAAGACTAAACGGGTTGATGCATATTGAGTTCAATGCGCACATATTTCAATGATCAACAGATGCAAGGTACCTCCCAGCACCTCACCCACTGAAATATTTAGACCAAGTTACTTGTTCTTGTTAGTCTGAGGATGAAATCAGCACGACTGACCCCTCCCTGGGAGGCAATCCCCTCAGCCGTGTGAGGACTGTCTCAAGACACAGAGGTGCCGAGATGCAGAAAGGATTTGAAAGAGCATAAGAGGTCACATACCTGAGACACTGAGAGTCAAACTTGTAGATGTGAGAACAAGAATTCAAACCCAGAAGTTCTTGTTTTAAATCTAATACTCTGTCTCCTGAGCTACAAAATATTTATTCTCCCTGACACACAGTGTGACGGATCTGAGTGTGTCCACCAACCCTGATCACTCATGTTCTGAAAGTCACACATTGGTCTAGCCTGGTGTATACAGAAAGCATCATACCACATTGGTATACAGCAGACATTCACACAAGTGTCTCCTCCCACCCCCACCGTGCCACCCCAGCATTAACTACCTGTGGTTTCCCGTTACCTTATTCGGGATATGGAGAGGTTGTACAACTGAATGTGTTGAATGATTTCATCCAGTAACCGGTCCGTCATGGTGTCAAAGTCTGCAAACGTGTCCGGCTGGAAGAAGAGAGAATGATGGGGTGTTGGGTAGGTGTGTGGCCACGTAGGCTCCGTGCACAGCCTGCCTTCCCTGTGAGACACACTGTGTGCTCTGGGGTGTGCTGAGCCTGGGGTCAGAGGTGCAGAGGGTGATGTGACTTCAGGACAAAAGGCCCACAGACCTGGGCATCAGCGAGGAAACAGAGCTGCTGAAGTATCTTCATTTGGGAGGGTGACTGAAAACCAAGGGACGACGAGATGGGAGCAGTGAGCACGTGATGCCCCCTGAGCACTGCTTCACCAATGAGGGAATGGGCTCTGCAGGGGAGGCCATGTGCTCGCTTTGTGCAAGCCAGGATTCACACCGGGGCATGTCCAACCCCAAAGCCCCCGCCCTCTCCTGGCATGGCCTTTGGAGTATACTATGAGGCTGTGTTCACAGGACCATGCCCAGCTTTGGGGAGGATCCTCAAGCTACCTGTGTCTAAGAGGGTGGTCGGAAGATTCAGGAGCATAAAAAGAAGGTTGGCAAGCACAGGAAGACATACTAGACTGGTTTCTATAACTTCAGTTGTGAATCTTAGGAAACAGAAGCCATGGGGAAGCAGATTTCGGGTCAACATCAAAACATGAAAGTTTCTTGTAAGTGGTGCCATCCTACATTGGTGCTGTCTGAGATGTGCTATGTTCCAGATTGGCAAGATGAACCAAGAGTCTCCTGAGTATTATCAGGGGTGAGGAAGAGGCATGTTGGGGGCAGAGGAGAGATTTGGAGAAGGCCCCAGACCCCCTGCCATCTGCCCCTAGTGAGCTTCTCAGCACAAGAAGGTGAAGCTGCCCAGCCTCTTAGCTCCCACCCACCCTGACGCCTGGCGCGTTTTCATCTCTCACACTCCTCTCACTTCCCCTAAAGAACACAGTAGGTCTTATCTCTCTTCCCCATCCAGGCGCCTGGCCAGTGCCCCCTGCAAGGGCTACCTCCTATCCGTGTGTGTCCACAAATGAACAATGTGCCTTTAGGAGGCTCATGCAAGGCATACCCTGGGGTTCTTCCGGTACCGAATCCGTCATACCTGGTTCTTTTCAGACATTAAGAAGTCCAGTTTCCCTCCAGGGAGCCCCAGCTCTATGAAAGTCTTCACCAGCCGGAGGTCTGCACTGTTTCCTGCAAATGACAGACAACCCCCACCCCCAGCCCCACGGTTAATCACAGGAAAGGTCTCACACACAGCTGCCTCTCTGCCTCTTCTCCCTTTCTGCTGAGTTTTTCTATTTGGGGCTAAGCAGAAAATATAAACAACTCAAACCAGTGCTCCCCTGCCACCCCACCCGGGACACAGGCAGACCACGGTCCTCCTAGGGGTCCGACCTCAGTAGGGCTACCGGCTGCTCTATCAGCACGTGCTAGGACACTGTCCAGGCAGGACCAGTGGGAAGCACACCGCCTCCCCTTCTTCCATGCCACATTCTCTTTGCCAGGACACTGTGTAAACATGTTGCCTAATGACTGACATGGCATCACATGACACCCACAAGTTCCCTCGTAAAGTATTTGCTCAGCACAAAGTCTCTCTAATTCTGCCATTTACAGGCAATCAGCAAGGCCCCTGCTAGGCCAGGCAAGGCATAGTTATCAACACAGTGTGAGACTCGCCCTTGGGAACAGGAGTCCCGACAGAGCAAGCTCCAGGGGACTCCACAATGACCACCAGGAACAGGAAAGAAAGTTCAGAGTTGCAGGCTGCAGCTAACAGTGAAGTCACAAAGAACACGGGGTCCATGTTGCTCCTGAAGCAAAAACCACGTGAAAATGAACTTGACCTAACAGAACAAGATGAACATTCAAGTATCGTTAGGCTTAATTCCATGCAGGTAACAGGAGTTCTAGGGCATCTTAATCAAGGTTTGGACTGTTCCTGAAACAGACAGATCCTCACAGAGTCTGGACATTAGAAGCTGTTATTTGGATACACAGGCTGCCTAGTTTACGGTGTAGATATACCCACAAAGGCCACCGTTTCAAAGTAGTTTTCAAGTTGTGAGTGAAAATACGATTAATTTTATATTATTCTTTAGGAGACTACCCAATGACTCAAAAGCAGATGAAAGTGCCACATGGAACTGGGCGTAACTGAGCTGTTGGGAGCATCCTTCCTCCTTCAGGAGGCCTCATCATGCCCAAACAGCACCATGCTGGTTCCTGACGGAGCACATGCCCAGGTTTGCAGGGTCACAGTCATCAGTGGTCATTGTTTCTAGAAAATATGTGGATTTTGTGGCAGAAGGTTCAATTTCATGCATTCTTTCTTTCATTTCTGTCAGCAAATTTCAGCTCTTTAGTTTTGCTATTTTGGTTGTTATTGAAGTTTCTTAATGACATTCCAGGATGTGTCTTAAAAAATAAAATTAAGTGAAAAGTTAAAAGTGTTTACATTGAGCACAAAATGTGTTTATGTAAGAAATAAAAATGTTCTCCTTTTCTTTAGCTACCAAGGAAAAAAGAACTTTCTACAACTTAAAACTTTCTCAGGAAATGTGATTTAATAAGATGGTAAATTGAGAACATTTACAAGAATATAAATCTTGGGCTTATTAGACAAAATGTAGAGTTGTGTAAATATTCATAACTTATCAACACGAACACTTCTCTGTTAATATAACTCTACTCTTGGAAGCAGAATTTAAGCAAAAAGACCTTATAAAATCCTGAAGAGTTTAGACATATTTTGCCTTGACCTTGAGAAGAAACCTGTGCTTGGCCAGCTGTCCTCTGGATGGCTTGATGGTGGCAATGTCACCACAGCTCAGTTTTCAGATTGGTACAATACCCATGACACTGCTCTGTCTTTATAAGATCCCAATTCTCTCAGACGCATGGTATAAAAGATAAAATCCTATGATCTGACTGGAATTCTTATTTCAACACAAATTTGAGAATCTGATCCTGTTGAATTGAACTCCATCTAAGTAAGAGACACAGTCCGGACATGCTTAGCATTGAGGGGATGAGTGAGACAGCTTCTTTGTCCTTGCAAACCCCAGAACTGGGTAGAGTGAATGGGTACACGGAAGGTGACCCGCAGTGAGAGATGAATAAAAATGGGCTACAGAACAAGCTGAGCTCCGCAGAATCAGTGTATTCATTCACCCACTCCATCCTCCGGTGCTGCTACCAGTCTACTGACCCAGGAATCCCTTAATCCTGGTACTCTGACCTCTGCACTCACACGTCTCCCTGATACACTCATTCCGATAGCACATTCATTCACTCATTCACTCAGTTCCTCCTCTTATTTTATACCAGGCGTCCTCAAACTTTGGCCCGTGGGCCACATGCGGCGGGCCTAGGACATTTATCGGGCCCGCTGGGTGTTTTTGCCGCCGCTGCCTGTCCTGCTTAGCAGCCGACTCATCCCAGGGCCTGCAGTGAACTGGCCCCCTGTTTAGAAAGTTCGAGGACCCCTGTTTATACCTTCATTCTATTAATATTTCATTCCGTTTGTTCATTCCATTTATTTATCTATGTATTTATTCAGTTCACTCCTTCACCATATTATTTCACAGACTGAACAATGTTTTTTTTTTTTCTCCCCCCTGCTGGAGAGATTTTTTTTTTTAAGCAAGGCCATGACATTTGTCCAGATTCCTCATAGTTACTGTCATTCCACAGTTGTTAATGGAACATGTTATTGAGCTAATATCTGATCTAAAGTAATTCATAAAGATTATAAATTGTGGCCAGCACAGAATTTTGAGGAGGAAGCTTTTGTTTTCAAGAACTCACCATCCAGGCCATGGACACAGACAACTAGGTGAATCCCATCCTCCAAAGTTTCTTCCTCTTCCTCTGGCGGGAAGTACGGCATATCTGAAGCTAGCACAGACACGTCGCTGTACAGAAAGCCTTCAATCTTCAGTTCTTTTTTAAATTTTTCTTTGGCCTGATAGAAACTGGAGAATACACTAATTAATCACAAGGGAAGCTGCGTACCTTATGCTGCACAGGAAATGTGCTGGGCTGGTGTGCAGGGGACTGAGCAGGAACTGTGACTGTGAGCCCTCTGGGGACACACTGATGAGGGAAGCTTTGTGCTGAGCAAGGGGGCAGTGGCACCTCAGAAAACCAAAGCTCTGAGAGCTCTGGTTCTGCAGGCCATATGGCTGCTGCATTGGCAGGGTGACAGGATTTCCAAGAGTCTATCTATCCATCTTCACCCTCGGGATCTTTCTAAAGGAACCCCACCCCCAGGTGAAGGCTTCCTAACCCAGCACTCAAGCCCCCCAAGGCCTGGCTTTCCTCTGCATCTCCGGCATCACTCCTCACCACTTCCAGCTTATAAAAATAATACATTTCTTCTCATTCTCAGCGTGAACTATATGACGTGGCTCAACTTCTATGTCCAGTGCCTGTGGGTCTATATGCCTGCAATGCCTTTCCCACCTGGCCATGACATCTTGCACCTGCTTACTGACAGCATGGACTCAGGAGTCTGATCGCCAAGGTCAGAGTCTTGGCCTTCACGCTTGCTATCTCATATTACCTACCATTGGTATCATCATCATCATCACTGTATCTCATATTTTCTTCCCGGAGTAGGTGTTGTCTTTTCCAAGAAGCATCTTCTAGCCACCACCCCCATTCACACTCACCACATCACATCCCTCCGGGTCTGCTATGCACACCTGAGTCATCACAGTCTCCCAGTCACTGCCCTCAGTCACTTCTCCCATCGGGTTACACTAACACCCAGGACATCCCTGGCTGGGCATCTAACAGCTTCTGCTCTGTGCTTGTTGAACCGATGAGAAGTTCCAGATGATAGGTTTTTAACCCACTTTATGAAACAAAAGGTCCAATGTTCACCTGCCTGTCCAGTTTCTTTGGGAGACATCATTAATAGGTAAGCCTTTAGCATTTTGTAAAACATTAAATGACATGTTTCCATATAATTATTTGGTTACACATCTAATTAGATACTATACATTGAAAAAGTAAACCAAAGAACCCCATAGCATTAAAAGGGGCTTAAGGGGAAAGTCTGCTGAAGAATTTCTATTCTCTAAAGGCTCCTTAAAGCCTCTCAAAATGTCCAAAGGTCAAGGACAATGATATCTGTAAGAGAGTTGTCTCGCATAATAGAAACAAAACTTAAATGTTCACTTTTAAAGGATTTGGTCAATAAGTCTTAGCCTATCCATGCGATAGAATATAGAGGGTCCCAAAAAATGTACACACAACTTAAGAGATGATATTTATGTATTACTTTCTGAGGTTGAATGCAAGGTATTGTTACCAGTCAAATGTACCTGGACACACTACACACATCCTCAGTTTGTAGTTTGTACACTTTGGGGGAATGATTGATTTTACTTTCAACAAGATCTATAAAAATGCGTATACCTTTTTTGGCACCTTCACCTGTCTTGTGTAAACATCAAAATGATGGTGCAGAAATTGATCTATAAACATAGGAAGATATTCTAATACATTACTCAGTTAAGAAACTCACTATGAAGCTTGTACAGAATGATCTTACTTTTGTATAAAAAGCATTGATTCATATGCATAAATATAATGTGTATATATATATGAATGAAAAATGTGGAGGAACATATAAAATATAAACATATAATATAAAGTGACAGTATTTGGCAGGTGGGTTTATAGCTCAGTGTTACTCCCTTACACTGTTTTGTGTTCTTTGTATGATATAAATATATTGTTCTATCACAATCTGGGGATCGTGTGCCTGAACTTGAGAACTGCTGGTGAGCCACCAGCCGGCTTACCTGAACATCCTCTCACTGACTTCTTCCTCCAGTTCGCTGGGATGGGCAGAGACAACTCCGAAAGAGCCCAGAGGTTGATGAGTGATGGGAAATAAGGTCTGTTTGGAAGAAAATCCAGTCCTGACAGGGGGCTCCTTGGTCACAGATGAGAAAGGGAGGCACGTGGCAGTGCAGGACACAGACAGGTTGACCACCTCCACGGCCTTCAGGCCCTCCAGAGAGAACGACTCTGTGGAGGTCACGGGCGACACCCCGACAGAAGTATTTGCCTGTGGCTCTTGGTTTCTGGAAACTTTGGAGTGAATAGAGTGAGTCACAGTGGGGCACACAGTGCCTGCTTTGTGTCTACCCTCTGAGGAGGCAGTCACGCCTCGGTCACCTCCTCTGTCATCAGTGGTACGAGGTGAACTTCTTTTCTTGCCTGGTGAACTCTGGCTGATGACATCAGCCTCTGACGTACGGTTTGATTCGGGCACCTTATGGGGGGAGATACCCTCAACCTCCGAGACGCCACTGCTGGAAAGGGCCTGTTTACCCACATCCAAGTCTCTGGCTATGCCCTTTGGGGTTTCCACTAGTGCTCTCTGAAAAGACCTCGTCCCAGGACTTTCGAGTGCTATGACGCACGGTATTTTTAAGTTAAGAACTTTGGTTTCAAGGCTTCCAGTGTTCTCAGTCCTGCTCTCAAGATGACAGTCCCCTCGAGGATCCGACTGACTTGCTTTACCTTTGGGAATGTCCATGTAACCAGGGCCGTGCAGGTGGTCACCATCTGACTCTGTCCTGGCGTCCTGGACTCTGGAGCCATGACAAAGGTGAGCACAGTGTCCGGGAGAATCTTTGCCCTGGAGGTACATATCTGGGGTTTCACCAAAATCTCTACCTTGTTGCTCAGGGTCAGTCTCATTGGCAGCCTCCTCTGGGCTACTGATTTGGGGTGCAGACACAGACTTGGTCAACTTGGTGAGCGCCAGCTCCCGCTCTTCCTCCTCAAAGGGCAGAGAGCTAATGGAGGTGAGAGAGGCCTGGATCCCGCTTGGCAAGCTCACGTTGCTTTCAGTGTGTCCGCCCTCCAAGGAGCTCCTGTGCAGGCCGTGTCTGCGCGCAGATGGCTGCAAGACTTCTCGGTCACTGGGCAGCTCCAGGGCCCTGCTCCGGGCCTCGGACCAGGCGAAGGAGCTTGGCTCACTCTCGATACCTGAATCAGATATGATGGAAGAAGATCTCTTGATGACCCCGGAGAGCACGGACAGTTCTTCCTGCTCCTCCTGCTGGGGGTCCTTCAGGGAAGACCTAGCGTCCACCAGTGGCTCCTTGGGAGTCGAGCTGAGCGGGTCACAGGGCTCGGAGGGGATGATTTTCAGACGCAGCAGCAGCACCTTGCTCTCTTGTTCACCTCCTTTCCCTACAGTACTCAGCTCACCATGGAGAGCTATTTTGTCTAAAGAGATGGCATTTTGGTGGCTTTCAACTGTTACTACTTTACTTAACCCATTCCTGTCTGAGCCGCACTTGTGTCTGGAGCTCCTGCTTTCGTGCTGGGCACTCACGACCACCGTGGACTCTGCTTTGGAGGGAGTCTTATTGCTAGAGTTCACATCGATGTAGGTCAGTGCTGGGGCCTGTCCGTCCTCGGGGTCTGGACTCCTTTGGGACAAGTCTGCCTTTGCCAGCAGGTGTGTTCCAACGTCAGATCTTTGGCCAGTCCCAGATTTGTCTTTCTGTGCCCCTGCTTTGTCCTGAAACTCACCAACTGTCAGATACACCTGAGATTCAGAGCACACGTCTGCAGGATTTCGTGTAGTTATATTCTTATCTGGCTTTGGACCTCTAATAACATCTCCATCCAAGTCCACCTGGGGTGGTTTCACAGTAGATGAGACAAGTTCATCCGTAACAGATAATTTTCTATTTACAATATGGTTCTCTTCTTTCTTTTTTTTTAGATTCGTGACTGTGGGACTTGTTACTGAAACATCAAATTTAGGACAAAGACTCAAATTATTCTTCACAGAATAAAGACAAAATTATATTATAGTTTAAGAACGTCTGTTTACCGTTATGCAAATAACTCACACAGCACAGTAAATAAAGAATTGGGCCGTCTTGTTTTCCTGTTTCCTGAGCAACGCCTTCTAGATTCTTGGAGTTTCCCAAGTGATAAGAGTGTCTTTGTTAATTATGGAAGTCCCGATAGTGTATGCTGATCAGGTGACTCATGATGAGTCCCTAAAAAGTCATGCTAATGAATAACTCAGGACAGGGCTTGGACACGCTGTAAAGACCAACTGTGTGATTAGAGAGTGAGAACATTGAACCAGGCAGTGCCCACCTAACCTCCAGCCTGGAGGTGGGTTTCAGGCACAAGGCAAGTCGGCTCAATTACTTATGCCCACATAATAAGACCCCAATAAAACTCTAGATACTGGGTATAGGTGAGCTTCTCAGGTTGAAGACTCAGACTAACGTTCCCACAGGATGGTAAGTCCTGAGGACACAGAAACTTTATGCCCAGGACTGCCTAGGCTTCAGCTTGTGGCTTTCCATTTTTGACTGGACTCTATGTATATCTTTTATAATAACAATATAATTGTAAGTACAGTGCCTTCCTGAGTACTAAGAGTCACTCTAGAAAGTAATAGAATCTGAGGGGCCTAAGAGAACCCTAAATCTGCAGCCAGTTGTTCAGAAGTGTGTGCAGCCTGGGAACCCATGATCTTGCTTCATCTAAAATGAAGTCAATCTTATCTAGAATTGTGTTCCCAAACTGTGAAGTCTGGCTGACTCTGGGGATTCATATCAGAATTGCATTGCACAAATAAAAAGCTGCCAAATCTTGTCATTTTGTTTACTTTTTACTTATTAAAGTATGTTGAATAATTCCCACTTGTAAATATTACAATACTTCTCCATCTCATACACAGTATTTATAAAGTTTAAAAAAAAAATAGCTTTGGAGTCTGGAAAGCCTGATTTTCAATCCGGACATTCCCACTTGCCAGCTGTAAGATCTTGCATGACTACAGAATTTAAATGAGCTCTTTGCCTATTAGAGTTCACTTTTCCCAACTCTAGACTGGGCAGATTCACAGCAGCCAGCAAGTCTGATAGTCATCAGTCATAGTACAGCTGTTATACAAAACAGTGTTACACACGGAGAAGACAGGTTTCTTCTTTTTACAGAAATATATCCCCAAACATGAGGTCTGTAGCCAATGCAATTATGATAAGTAACATTCAGGCCACAAGAAAGTGCCCAGAATCACTGTGATCTTTGTAATAACATAGTGAGGAGCTAAAGCATGACATTTTAATCTCATTTTAGGGTAAACTTGTCTTTCTCTTCTCTCTCCCCCTCTCCTAATAATTCATAGCTCTTCTGAGCAAATCACCTCATATGATATTCAGTTTCTGTATACATAAAACATAAAACAGGAGGATTAGGTTTTTATTTCCCTTAAAAATTTTAAATTCTTTATATGGGGTTGGTAGGAGTTAAACAGATACGATCACTCCTGACTGTGATCACAGAGTCAACCACTCATGGGGCTTTCAGAAATCACCGTCTGATACCTCTGTGTGAGCCAATGATTGCATCAGGGAGATGATGGACCTCTCTCTCACATGGACATGTTCTTAGCATCTTGAGAGACTATCAGAAAATCCCACTTCCTCTGGGAGACCGGCCGCACAGCCTCCCGCCGGGAGAAGTTCTCTGTTGCAACTCCCCAGCACCCTTCCTACACGCTATAGCACGACGCATCCTGCCCACTGTGACCTCTCTGCGCATCTCCCCTGCCCTCTGGAGAGAAGGCAAGCACTGTGGGTGTACATAGCCAATGAACTGTGTTCGTCAGTGAAGCAGGAATAGAACAGAAATCCAGCAAAGCAAATACTAGTCGGCGCATTACCTCAATGTCATTTCTATGTGAAAAATCTCAATCCTGAGCAGTGGGATAAGAAAACAGGAAGTGAGCCACGATTATAAAAGTGACCAGTCTCTGCCTTTCAGAGAATTGCCAAATATTGGGACACATATGCAGGTACGCGTGGTTTTCCTGCAGAAACAATGTGGGACTTGGCAAAACTATGGTGACAATTAAAGGATCGGCAGGTGCCGGGGTAAGGAAGAGAGTAAACAGGTGAAGTGCAGGGGACGTGGAGGCTGGGGCAGCTTCACTGCCAGAGCCTGTGAGAGTGGAAACACGTCATTCATTATTCGTTTGTCCAAACCCACAGGAAGCACAAAACAAGAGTGAGCCTCGGGGTAAACTAAGGCCTCTGGGCAACCGTGACGTGTCAGCGTCACCCTCTGAACAGACACACATTGGTAAGAGGAGAAGCTATGCAAGTGAGGGCAGCTAGGAGGTGGGAATCCAGATATCTTCCTCTTTATTTTTCTTTGCCGGAAACCTGAAATTGCTCTATAAAACAAAAAGTCTCAACACAAAAAAGGTTAAAAAAAAAAAAAAAAGAACTTGTGCTGCTCTGTAGTATGAATTGAAACTCTTCAGAAAAGGAGGGAATGAGCCACCCAGGCAGGGAAAGGACACTCATGGGCTGCAAAGTTTGGGGTGTACGATCATGGGGTGTCAGGCATGGTTAGGCCACAGGGTAAGAGGTCAGGCAGCTGGAGGGAACCCACACTGTGGGTGGACCTGAATGCCGCCTGGGCAGGAAGCCTCTCCTCCTTACGTCAGAAGTAACAGGCTGTAGATTCTCAGAGCAAGAAATAAAGATTTATTAGATTTAGCATGGACAGCTGCAACCCAGAAAGTGCAGTGAGGAGCTAGACTGCCAAAATAGCAAATATTTGTTCTCACTATTGCAACTATGGAAAAATGAGAGTAGCAAAGGAACTGATTCAGAAAAAATAGATTTAGAATTAACATGCGGTCATAATTCCTCTGTAATAGTCGTATTATGAGTGTTATGGACTGGCCTGTCCTATGGTCACAGTGACCTCGTGAAGTAGAAATTATAGTCCCTTTTACCCAATTGCACACAGTTACAAAATATTTTTGGAAAAATGATATTTAAAAAGAGGTAGTCTGGCCAACGCTTCAGGCTTTAGGCAACCTACTCACCTGCTTTCAGACAGGGGAGAAAAGCTACAGACAGAATTGGTGGAGTGTGTGATACCCTGCAGGTATTCGAGCCATGGGAAAGCAGACCATGAACTCATGCTGCTATTTTAATATGGAAATGAAACTATTTTATTTCTATATTTTGCTACACTAAAAGAATAGAATGTAAATATATCTGATTACCTTATGGCAAGACAAAGATAGATATATATCTTTATTATATAGATTAAGGCCCCTAAACTCTACGTAAAAGAGGGAATCATTTCTTTCTTGCTAATTATGATGATCTGGGGTTAAAGAATCATCAAAGCACTTTGTGAAAAATCAAGTAGATCCAAGAAAGCTTTGGGTTTGGAGTGGGGCACAGGTGGTTCCGTAAAAGTACTTTGCAGGGGTGGGAGCGGCTCAGGTCAGAGGTAGGTGGAGAGATGTCTGGGGGAGACAGCTCTGTCTGTGCAGCAACTGCCTTGGGTCCCCCTAGGAAGATGAGCCCACGTGTGCTGTGCCGGAGATCCAGGCCCAAGCGCATCATCAAAGCTTCGAGGAGAGGCCAGTCCTAAAACACTATACAAATATGAGTAACGGATGCCTCAGAAAAGCCTGTGTGTGCAGATGACCCCAGAGAGGCCTGCTGCTGTCGAAGACTCCGGGTCCCCGGCCCGAGAAGTTACAGGAAAGGAGTGGGCAGAAAAGTCCCAGAGAGACCGAAGTTGACTTTCTAGCTGATGCTACAGGATGGAGGTTTGAAGATAAAATGAATTTGATTAATCAAAATATAGATATGCAATATGATCCCACGTACGAGTTGAGGGACTGAAATTCATATTGACTGAAATATCTGTAAATATGCCTAGAGAGACAGCCTGGAAGACAATCTACAACAAAAACGCATGATGATCTCTGACAATGGGTGTTCATATAGAGCAGACCCTCCATAGCTGACCACCTCCTTAGGTTGACCTAATTTTCGTAGACTAGACATGCACCACATGTACATGACTGTACAAATTTTCTGTAGTTAAATTGAAAGAAGAAAACTGTGAAGATAAGCTAATATATGCATATGTACACAGGCCTGCATCAATACATGTAAACACACAAATACATACCCTACC